AATATCCACGAATTTTTTAGGTTATCAATTATTCAGGCCTCAACCGTGCACGTGACCGATAGTGTAGGGTCCTAACCCTTCTGTCACACTGATTAGAAGGATACCCTATTATTCCTGCTCATATATTCTTCTTTATTTACTATAAAACACCCGTCCCAGAAGAGGTTCTTCACAGGTATTTGCTTGAGATTATCTTTTTTAATATTTTGTAAACAATCTACTCTATCATTTTTCAATTTATTTGTTGAAACTCACGTTCTTTTAATGCCGGTTAACCTCTATATTTTTGAGAAGCTACAGTTTATATAAATAAATGTACAAATACAATAAATAGAGAAAATTCGTACTTCATTCTGTAGCTACATTTCCCATTTGTATTGGCAATAATTACTACTGCAACCTAATTATTTGTTCACTAATCAAATAGAATCTATACTGCGCTACATATTGGTTAACCTAAAAAAATTAATAACACCTGAATTACGTATACGTTTATATAGGAATCTTATTTGATATTCTACTAGCATTTCCAGTGTAATCTGAAACGAAATTGTCCGCAAGAAAAAAAATTCTAAATGTTCATAAATATGACCTTGTCACTATTGCAAAAATTATGAAACTTGAAAAAAAATATTGGAAAGTTTTTCTGGCACTCTCCAAATGAAACCAAATTTCTTGTTAAATTTCTTTCAACTCTTTTCCTTTCATTCGTATCACTTCCCTATATTCACGAAATAGTTCATAAATTATTCTGAATTGTTTGTTGAATACTTTCATAAAAAAGTGTTCAAGGCCTTCAAACAATTTTCTAATTTCTTTTCGTGTTTTTTTTTCAAATAAATAATATAAAAAGATATACGTATATATTTAATTTTGGCATCCCCATTTTGTAAAGAAAAACGAGAAAAATGTAGTTAGATCAGTACAAATAAGAAAAAACTATTTTTAATTGCACAGAAAAATTGCAAAAGTAATTTTCTTTTTTAACGAGGAAATATACATATCGTCCTTTTT